AACAACTTGCTGTCAYATAGAAAGCATTACATTATTTTGTATAGATCAATGACATGATTTTCAGGACACGGTGAAAGATCCCAGTTCTTAAATAATAGAAGTTCCTCACCCTTACCTGACAAGTAGTGGTGTTTCATCCAGTCAAGTAGTTCACATACAATGGGAACCAAGTTACCTGTTTAGACTGTGTCTTTCTGATAGCTCTCCTACCATCCTCTCTATCTGTCATAACCCTCTCATGTCTCTCAGTATATTTAACTGCTTCTTGAACCTGCTTCCCTATTGCGAAGGCAAAGACCTCAAAGTAGGAAGTGAAKAGGTAATCATTACACATAATGTCTGCTTTGGTTAAGCAGTAAAACAGTAAAAGACYTAGTTATTATGGGATAGAAAACATACTAGAACCAAGAATTTACCTCAATATGTTGAATTTTGAATAATTTATTATGGTCTGTGACCATTTTCTCAGCCTGTCATTCTGGTATGAAAAATACGAACATTTTTTAATTCGTTTTGAAATGAAGCCTCTTTTGTTTTAACCTCTTTTGGTTTGGTAAAACAAAAAAATCTTTTCTTCACAAATTATTTGCAGTCCCTCTAGCTTGCACATAGAGGCACCAAGATAGTTGTAACAGTCCAGGATAATAACACAAGGGACATCCTAACTGACAATTCCTCGCTCTTATCACTAGTTAGCAATCACCCAGGCCTTCCTTCGTGTGCTCTCCAGCTACAGCTGTAATTGCCTGTCTAAAAGGCAGCTGCCTCTGAAAACACAAGAAATTGCCATAGAGGTATATGAAAGAGATGGGCATTTGCTAGTTTTCATACAAAAATACATGCCTTGATTTACACTGATCTATTGGTTCTTATCATTTTGACTATTTTTGGGCGTTGTGAACTCAGTGGAGTCAACAATGCTTCTCTGCTTCTTCTGTAAGAGATGAGAATTTCATTTGGCTTTCATTTCATGAAATAGAATGAACAGAATGCACCTCTTTTTAAAAGACTTTATGGAATTCATTTTGCAATATCTTACAATGAAGCTTGTAAAATAATTATGTTGTTATCTTTGTTTTTAGAAAATGTAAGAGATGTTATAACAGAATGCTAGAAGGAAAGAACTGGCAATATTTACAAAATAGCTAAACAGGCAATGCCAAATGAGTTTAAACAAAAGAAGCATTTTGCAAAAATCATGTATTTATATTATTTATTTTCTTAAAAATAATTATAAAAATATAATGTATAATTGATTACATTTTATCCCTTGTCCAAAAATGAAACCCTAATTATAGTTAAGCATCCAAATGGAAGTGACATATTTTATTCCAGAGAGCCATATAAATACTACTAAAATCAAGGAAAGCTAAGTTTGCTCATCATCTTTTGTGCATCATTTCGATGTCGAAGAAATCACTAGCTGTTACCTTTTGGGTCCCAGATTTGAAATGACTGATCTCTTCAGCATGTTGACCTTCTGTCCCACTCACTGTAAGATCCTCTGGTTGCCACAGAATAAAACAAATACATCGTGCCCCAGGTCTATCAGGTCTTCTCTAATATGAGACACTGTGAGATATGTTACTGCTTCTATTTTCTAAGGATGAGTTGTGTCACTGGCATATCTCTGCAGAGCCGGGCAGGCATGTAAGCTCACAGTATTTGGTTATGGCAGGGTACGTTGGTACTGAAGAGAGCATGAGAAATCTGTCTCCAAATTGTCTTCAGTTTGCTGAAAGCCTGGATATTGCTCTGCCAGGTGATGGTCATTCCTAAGAATGACTGACACACACACAAAAACGGAGGCCATCTATACCATATCTACCTTTAGAAGACCTTTAGATCCCTGTTTGGACTCCCAGAAAAAAAAAAAAAAAAAAAAAGGGGGGGGGGGAGTTATCATAGTAGCTGCTAACTTGAACTTGATCAAGAAAGAAAATCTCTTTTAATACGACTTTGAACATTCAGCAGATGAGAATTAGTTTTTGCACCGCTACAAACGCTATTAGTGTCTGGTGATTCCAGAGCAAACATTATCATTTATAACAATTTTGTTCAGCAGATTTTGGCTTTTTGCTCTAATCAAGAGTCATCTGCGAACAGACTGTGTTCTTTCTTAAATGTGTATGTTTGTTCAAAATTTACCAACTGGTTAGGTTCTGATCAGAATTCTAGACGAAAATGTTTTCACAGTTCTTTCCTCCCCATAATCCTTCCTGCTCTAACCTCTCTGAGGACTGCAAACAAATAATCCTTCCTTGTTAAACTCTTATTGAACGTTAACATAGAATTTTGCTATATTTACCTCATATGTTATAGTTTAGATGACTTCTACGCATAATTTTGATAGTGCAGTCTTTTCTTAATTGCAGTTTGCCAAGTCTAATATGTACAAGTACCCATTCTGTTCTCCAGAGCACAGAAGGCTTCATATCTACTTTATAGCAAAGGTATTAGGCTCAGTTCATGGTTGCTTTACATTCAATTCCTTGTAAGCATCTATTTGAAAATACTCTTGCTTAGATTTGAGGCATGGAACTATGTGCTTGTAGTCTCTAAGTAAACTAGATATTTACGCCTGCTAGTCAAAAAAAATCCTCCCACAGTAAAATATTTATCTTCCTTGGTGGCATGTATATTATATTTAAATATGAGCAACCAAATCCATACTTTTCTGAGTTAATACATAATTGAGGAAAATGGCCTCTTTATGAAACATTGGCAAATTCTGTTACTTTTAGGCTTCTCTCTCTGGCAGCCGTATGAATATTTGCCTCAGGAAAAGCATATGGATGCTATCATTACCTCCTGCAAGAGTCATCGATACTGAAATGTTTACGTTCTTTTCCTTTTTTAAAAATTAATTAATTGAGAAATTAAAGAGATATCTGACATAAACTTGCAGGAAGAAAATTGTTCACGCTGAGTGCTGTGACTTGCCAGACATTTTGTGACCTTTTCAGCTATTTGCTTCCTGAAGTTTCATAGAAAAGAGAGAATCGTTGTGCCAAGCTCAAGATATTTCCTTACATCTTGGTGGAAATGAGCACCATTCATTTTCTACCTACCAGAAAACAGAATTGGTGATAAATTTATAGTGTGTTAATTCTAAGAGGCTAATCAGACAAATCACACCTAACTCAGACAAAACACATATTAAGATATTCAGACCCCACATTAACATCTTGATCCAGCTAACGTCTAGACTAGTCCACATATACTGTATGCGGTATATTGTATGTACTCAGATAAACACTGTGTTTTCTAAGTGTTTCCTGAGAATTCTGAATTTCTCACCATGGATCTGAATCGTGCTAGTTTCATGTGGACTACACAGAAGCTATGAACCTTTTACTATGAGRGAAGTGGCAGGTATGTAGTCCTTAGGAAGCCTTTCTCTGCAGCTTATTTGGTGGTGGTGCTGATTCTGATGGTGTTCATGGTGAAGGTATGGCAGGATGAAGAACAGACGAGCTAGTTCAGTCAGATCAAGTGATTTTCACAATGCTTTTTTCTTCACTGTCACAACTGCTTGCTATGCTTAAATCGTAGAGAAAAGAACTGTTGCAGCAGAACTTTCCTGCCCAGTTGTCACCAACTTCATTTGCCAGGGAGACCCAGAAAGAAATCTAGACTTTTCCTAGCAGATTTATGCTGTCCTAATGAACCCAGAGCATTTCTGAGTTGTAGGGCAAGCAAGCTGAAAATAACTACAACATCAAAGTGTTTTCCGAGGATAAATTTGAAGATCACCTTTAATGGCCAATTTGAAAGCTATTACATATCAACATTAGGACAAAGAACTATTTTTTTTTAACTTGAAAGTTATAGTGAACCTGTACATTTGCCTCTTTTCCTCATATTAAAATGACAACTACCTTTCCCAACCCAGATTTTAAAGCTGCCAGTTAGCACCTAGTCTCTCACACATCCTACTTTTCTAGAGCAGACAAGGTGTTACTTAGACAAAGTAACAGAGACTGGATGGCAAATGCCTGTGAAGCACTGAGTGATGTGGGAGGTCTACAGATAAAAGCATATTGCAGCTTTGAGCATATTGAGATAGAAYGACTCAGGGGGCTGGAAAGAAAACAGAGAGGTTTCTTAATTCTGGCTTGCTCAGGAGCTGTGTGGTTCAGGCCCTCTGTGATGAGGGGTCCATGCTGACAGCATCGAGCAGCTCATGACAGCAAATGGGGGAACAGCCCGGTCCCCCCGGGGTTTTGACTTAAAATGCAGCTGCAAATGGCACCCTTTGGCTACGCCTGAATGTCAGATCAGAGTCAAAAGCTACCCCTGAGAAGAGCTTTCCACTGGCATCTTGCTTCTTTTTGACAGCTAGAGACTTCAATGTGTGTTAATACAGAATCTTTTAAGTTGCAGTTATATAAAAATCTTCTAGTATTACAACTTTTATTTAACTTTCTGTAGCAATTCCAAATTGGCATATATGCTACTTTTTGATAGAGTGATTGGTTCTGATAATGTGGTGGGTGGCACTGTTTGCTTATTAACAGTGAGACAGAGTGTGTTATCTTGGCCTTCAAAAATCTGAGATGTCAAAAATAAAAAAACCTTGAAATATGACAAAAAGTCAAAATTTATGTCAAATTACCTTTAAAGAATGGCTGTTGCTGGAATGGTTTGTTCTGACRTTCAGATGTTTAATCCTTTTTAACATAAATGCTTTTGTTAGGCATTTCACGTTGTGAAATCACAAAGAAAAATTATCCAAAGAACAAATCAAAGCTACCTATTTGTTGAAAATGGTGCTTTATTTTAAGTCAATTTGAAGAATTATAAATTTTTGACAAAAATCTGCTTTAATTAAAATTCACTGTAAGCCCCTTCTATATGCTTCTCCAATTTTATAAAAGAACGAAAAAAATCACTTTTTAATTTCTCACTGCTGCTGTTTATTTTCATGTTATAATTTCATCTTTGTTTATAACCCTTTCCTTTCCCTTTTTTTTTTTTTTTTTTCCTCACCATTGTAGGCAATGAGAGCCTAGAAGAAAACTATGTGCAGGACAGTAAAATGGGATTTGTTATCAATGCTATTTATGCCATGGCTCACGGCCTCCAAAACATGCATCACGCCCTTTGCCCTGGGCATGTTGGGCTATGCGATGCCATGAAGCCGATCGATGGCAGCAAGCTATTGGAATTCCTCCTCAAGTCCTCCTTCATTGGTGTTTCTGGAGAAGAAGTTTGGTTTGACGAAAAGGGAGATGCCCCTGGAAGGTAAAGAGATGTTTTCCCCTCCACTACTTGAACCAGCTTCTGAGGAGGGAAGGAGGGAGGGAGCCAGGTTGTTGTTTTGGGCAATGAAAATTTCTTTGTTCTGCTGAAGCAGACAGCACACATATTGTGCAATAGAAACCGAGTTATCTGGGGTAGTCTTTCTAGAAGACAGGCATGACACTGTTAACACATGATATATTGATAGCTACAGCTTGTACTGGGCCTGGGGATACGATGCAACGTGAAATATCTCTAGTGTTTCCGGAGAGACCTTGTATCTTGCAGAGTTTTGGCATATGAGCCACCGCTGGGGCTCAGAACCTGGGTTCCATCATAAGCAAAGCTTAATACAGTGCTTGGAATTTAATGAAGCATTTGCTAGCTAAGGTTTTGAAAGTAGGGCTGCAGAGCACATCCTTTTCCAACTGTATCTCAGCTGCTCCAAGCACCCCTGGGACTTAGCACAGCATCCCTGCCAGGAACAGTTTGGCTCTGCTTGCTGAATGCCGGGACACACTCCTTCACTTGCTTCACTCCAGATAAGCCCAGGTGTGCCAGACTCTAAAGGCAGGTCTGAGTAAAGCTGAACAAGTAGTTTTATTTGCCAGAAGGTAATCATTTTGTTCATTTTCGGTCCAGTAAATTCAAACATTGGGAACTGCTACTGTCCCTCCTCTAGTAGGCACATTATGATCCCAAGAAATGGGAGAAACAGCAACTTTGGGGACTCCCTCATCACCTGTGTTTCTCTTATGGGAGCAAAATGACAGAAATACAGATTATAGATTTATTTCTGAGGGTTTGTTTTTAATAAATGTATTTCAACAGCTGAAGCTCACAATGCTTTTTTAATTATTTATTAACTCCTTACTCAGGAGTTACCTCATATTAGCTAGTTTTTCTTCTAAGCTAAGTATTATTAAAGACTCTCTYACTCCATCTTTGGGCATATTGAATAAATGCATCTGAGTGCCAACACTGCGTAAGGAGAGTGCTCTGGAGTAAGTAAGGTTCTGCAGACTAGCACATGCCTTCAAAGAATATTTCTACTGCTAACTCTTGTTATTAAAAATGACTACTTTTGTACCATTTGCTATTTGCATTGCTTGTTATATTTGATCAGTAGGTATATTTAAACAGCTTCTTACAATGAAATATTACCCAAAAAATTGGTCATTTTGATCTTGTTTCTCACTGAGTGCTGCTTATTTTGTATTTGTATATATAGAAATATCACAGGGAAATTACTGCTTACTGTAGCTGTGAGTTTATTGCATACAATTTCTCTCTGTACAAGCATTACACCAGCTTTCTGTATGGTGCATTGTCTGCCAGTTAGCTAGTTGGTTTGATATTTAGGTATATGATATTAAATGCTATTGATTTTTTTTTCAGTTTTAGTAGAAATCTTGTTTATTATCTTATTATCTGAGAATATTTGTGCAACTGTAAAAAGATAGGAGAGTTTATATCAGGATATTTTTCTGAGTAGGTCAGGATGATAGATCTTATTCCTTCCATCATTTTGGTCTATAGCAAGGTTCATTTCTTTTCCTTCTCTGGCCTATTTAGAATTTTAAGTGAGATTTCTTCTGTTGCTCTTTTACATTTTCACACTTGGAGCTAGCATGTTTGGATAAGAAAGTCCATTGTTATCCATACCTTAATCCTTGTATCACCTGTGGCCTCAATGACATGGGCAGTAGCATGTCAATGAATAGTGGCGTATGCACCAGCAATATGCACCAGCTGGACAGCTGGTAAGATCTTCAGAAGCCAGCAGTAATTTATGTCCATGCAAAACCACAGTTAGGAGTGTATGACTTCAGACTTGTACCRGTGTTTTCACAGTCTCACAGAAGAGGCCCTTTATGTGGCTAGGTGAATGCACTGTCCTGCTGCATCACTACTCAAAAACAATTTTTATACTTCAATGAAACAAAAAGCTAAACATCACATAAAATACTGAAAAAAGCAAAGAGCACCTGATATGGAATTGTTTAGTTTGCCATGYTTTCTATCTCAGTGAAAGAATGACACACAAATATCTAAAGCTTTTCAATATTAGCCTGCTATATTGTCTAAGCAAATCAACTTAAAAGATAGAATAAAGCAATGTTCCTACTTAGAAGACAGAAAACTTTAACATATTTTATTATCAAAAATCTTTGAGGATCTTTGAGCAATAGAAGCTTTTAAGCTCTTAGTTTTACTTGAAAGGGATAGAGTAGGTGGAGATGCCAGTAACGTTTGCCTGATGTTCATATCACTCCCTGTCTTGAATTCTTCATAGCTAAATTCTGTTTTGATAATTCTCTTTTTGCTATTTCAGACTCAATTTATGGTTTCAAAGCTTTATCAAAATAAGATTAAAAACTTGAAGCAGTTTTCTTTCAGGAGTCTATTTCTTTTGTTATGAATCTTTTCTTTGAGGAGCTTTAATTCAAAAATATAAAGCAGAACTTTGTTAAAAGGGCACAAGTATAGTCACTTAACTGTCTGTTCACTGCCTCCAGCACAAGTGACCTGAATTTGTCTTTTGAAAACGACAGCTGCATGTGCTCACTATAGCATCACTAAGAACAATCTGGTAAAAATACTGAACTTTTTGCTTTCCTTGAGTACATCCTATATGCTTTTCCATAGTAATCATTTCACTTAAATTCCTAGAAATGCCTAGAGAGGGATGCAGTAGTCCACCCCAAATTTTTCTTTTGTCCTATGAAAGATGCATCCATGTATTTTAGATTCTTGTATTTTAGAAGAACATTTCAAACTATTGTCTTTTCTAGGGTAACAGCCTGCTTTTAGCTTGAGGCAAGYATGAACAAGCTAAATCCTCCTGGACAAACAGTTTGCACAGACCTGTAATCATAGAAATTTGACATGACAACTTTCAGGTGAACTCTGAACCCTTACACAAGACCTCTTCTGTGCTGAGTAATGCTAATGTTCACAGATTAATAGAAATTAGAGACCATTTGAGCCTAACTACATTTGGAATTAGACCCATATAGCAGTACGTAATTCAAAAGGTTCAGTAACTTCTTAACCTTTTCTGAATGCTTTGAGAAAATTCAAATRCAAAATTCAAAAATCAAATTCATAACACAAAGACTTAAAATATATGCAGTGTATAAAGGAAAGTTTGGCAAATATGCCAGGCTATTTTGGAGCTAGGCTCCATAGATGGTAGTTTGGACCATGATCGTCATTTGTCTCCATGATGCTCATTTTCTTAATGCTTCACAACTCTTTTTGAAACCTGCTTCTCTTGGGATGGCCATTTTTTACTTGGACAGAGCTGTGGAGAACTGTTAGGGATATACATTTGCTTGATACAGTATAGGGTGAGACATCCCAGCAGTGGTCTGTAACTCTTCCTTACCCAAGGTAGAAATGTTTCATTAAGGAACAGAAGAGGAGGATGAAGAACACGGGTCCATTTCCATACACCAATTTTATTTTCTGAATCACATATCCTTTTACTTAAAATTCAAGTTGAATCTCAAAGCTGCATGCATTTTACCACAACTTGTCATATGCAAAACTATGTGAGAACTTTTAGTCTCACACTTCACTTATTGACAGATAACTGATAGAGAAGGGGTAGTATTATAAGAAAACATAAGATTGGCTTTCAATTTAAAATCACATCTCTGCATTAATCTATTCTGTGCCTTGTAATAGGTTTTTGCAAAAAATGAAAACAATCTGTGCAGGCTGAAAAATTCCATTAGGGAATGTGAGCTTTTAGTAATCTTTTATTCTTCTTCTGAATTCATTTTCCAGCTCAAAGAAACTGACTGCATTTCAGTCTAATTCAAGGGCACACTAAAAACGAAGTTGTTTCCGTTTGCCATCAAAAGACAAGTACATTCCTGCTCAATTTTACTCCTATCTGTTTCATCTGCATTAAAAAGTATCCTGCAGTTATTTTTTCTCTTTTTTCATGATTTTTCACAGTGCTTCCTGAGGACAGCATTCATTCCTTAGATCCTTCCTTTATAAGAGCTGGGAGATGAGGAGGAATTGCTTTCTGGTGACTTCGAATATTTCCCCTTTTCTAAGAAAATTTTCTGTTAGGAGCCAGTTGCCAAGCATGAAGCTGTTCCTCCTTGGAGCTCCTTTGAAGTCAGTGGCAGGAGCCCCTTTTCATGTCATTCTCTGGTGACTTCAGTGGAGCTCTGCTGTGGCACAGATGTCTGTGCATAGAGGCATCATATTTACAAAGCTGGGGTTACAGACCTGTAAATACGCACTTCTTTAAATTATCTTTCACTAGAAGCATTCTAAAACTCATACAAGGCACATATTTAGAGGGTGCTGCTTCTGCCTCTTCCCTCTGTGAATTGCAGGGAGTTGAACCTTGGCAGATAAAAGTGAAAACTGGATACAGCACTCCTTTTGTTAGCATCCCAGTTGTTATTTATCGCTCATAATTTGTTTAGCTTTCATTTCTATACCCATGCAGATTAACAATATTCATTATAAACCAGAGGGGTTTTTTTCACCCAGAAAACAAAGCAGTAACTCCCAGGCTTGTAAAGCAAAAGATCCTGCGTGGTTTCAGGCCAAACTATAATTTCTGGTTTGCAGCCTTCTTTCCCATGCCCATTTTTAATCAACGCATTGCCTTGCCTACCTCCCATCCCCCTTCCCTTCTGAAGAGTTCAGCACATATATCCATCCTCATTTGTGSTCCTTTCTCCCTCTGCTCTTTCCACTATTCACTCTCCCACTCTTGCTTATTCCTTCTATGAAATTGGCCTACTTAATCATTGCTTTGCAGGAGTCACATTCAGGGGATGAGAGCTGGAGCCAAGCAGTTAGCAGTGAGAGATGTGCACACACACCAGTCCCAACTCCCCAGGCGCAGTGATAGAGCTAAGGAAGCTGCATGTTTATTGTAGCACTGTTTTGGAAGCTGCATRTTTATTGTAGCACTGTTTTAGGCTTCCTTTACATGACCCTTGCTTAGTTCTGCTCAACCTGCCTAGGACTAGGAAGCATATTTTGTGCCTGGGCTGTTAAATTTCCTGACAGTCCCATTGGAATGTTTAATGTAAATAATTGAACTAGTGCTTATGGTTAACCCACAGCATAGTAGTCTAGGTATTTCCAATGAGTGATGACTTCGGATTTGCATGGCAGGACAATTATATGGGCAACCTGCAATCTAGCCAGTGCCTACAGGTGCATCTGCAGCAGAGCTTCTTCYCTTAGAGACAAGGCTCTTGCCAGACATATACCTTTTTTTTCAGGCTTGCATGTTAATGGGTTAAGCAGTCAGTAATTATATGGGGATCATTTCCCATAATCCTACTGCAAATCCTAAAGTATTTCGTGTTTTCTTGAAACTCTAGTACATGGAGTTAGATGATGATGTGAAACATGGATTTGGGGGAAGGCAGAAGGAGGCAGGCAAGGTGAATTTTTAGTCTTCATTTTGCAGGGAAGTGCTTGAGGATGTGGTTTGTTCTCTCTTCCTCTTGTTCGCAGGTATGACATTATGAACTTGCAGYACATAGAGCAGAACCGCTACGACTATGTCCTCATAGGCACCTGGCACGAGGGCGTGCTCAACATTGACGACGACCGGATCCAGATGAACAAGAGCGGGATGGTGCGCTCCGTGTGCAGCGAGCCCTGCTGGAAGGGGCAGATCAAGGTGTGCATCCAGGAAAAAGAACATTCCAATAGTGAAGTGTAAATAACCAGGCAGTATTGCTTCACCAAACCCAAACAAGCTTCATGCATGAAGCTTGCAGGAAGCTTGTTAGGGTCTGGTATTCCTTATTACTTCCTTTTCTTTAGGAAAGCCAAAACAATAGAAAAACTCCTAGATCAAGTACTCTCATGATGCCATATATGTATGGACCTACATTTCCTGCAACTGCCATTTACAGTGATGGGATAACAGATAAGAATCTGTTCTTATAGTATCACAGGATTTGAATTCAATTTTGCCCGATGTGGAAAAGAAGCCATTTCTTAGTCATTGCCTACAACATTCAGTGGCCATGATAYACTCAAGGGCTGATTCTTAAAACCTTTTTCCTGTGGTAATCCAGTACTTTGTTCCAGCAACAACACCTGCAAGAAAAAGAAAGGAAAAAAAAAGGTCTGTTTGTATCTAATGCTCACAACAGGAGGTGTGAAAATACAAATGAAATCACTCTCTGTTTATTAAACAGTAGCATTTGTATGAAGGAACAAGTATTTTGCCACCTGCCATTCCTGGGTGAGGTGTTTCACCTCATGTTTCACRTGTTACATGTTTCACCAGTAGCAAAATGGTATGGCTGCACTAAGCTTAGAGGACAATAGGCCCAGTGAGGAAAATGATCTTTTTAGAAAATACTTTCATTTCTAATTTCATTTTATAAGCACAATTGCAGTTTTTTAATACTCTGGGAGGAAACAGCTGATTGATAATTTGGCAAAGGTTTAGTCACATACTCAGACAGTCTTGGAGGGGTAACAGTATCAGTACCTACCATCCTCCAAAACATCATGTCCCTGTTTTTGAGATTGTGCATTTTGTGCATCTGTGTACMTGTAAACACCATGCATACTGCAGGAGGAGATGTTAAAAAGAAAAAAGCCCACAAAGGTAGTATTCAATAAAACAAATACTCTGCATTTCATTTYGCTCTGCATAGAGATGGGAAGATCCTGGAGAGGAGGCTGGACTCCTCCCTTCTGGCAAGCAGAGACAGAGTCCTCATCAGAGCCTCATGAGCTGAAGAAATCCCTCATCTTTCTTTCAGCTTCAGCATAATGAAATGAGCAGACCAGATGAGGAAACAACCTTTTCATTATGGGATCATTACACATAGCAGTGCTCACAGCAGAGCGAAATACATCATTCAGAGACATTTATCTCTATGAGAGCTGTTCCAGACCATGTTCTTGGTCACTGCAAATTGGTTTTATTTTCTACTAGGCCCCATTACATCTTTCTAACATTGTACTTTTTATTTATTTAATTTTAATTTCTATTTACATTTGCTGAATGACACCCAAAGAGTCTTCAGTGCAAATGAAAATGTATGTGTATGTGTGCATATGTTTATTTCATATATATGCACACATATATGTGTGTGTGTGTGTGTGTGTGTGTGTGAATCATAAATTACTCTGTTCTAACTTTTACCTTTCTGTACTGCTTTTATTATGAAATGGGTATCAAATGTGAGCTGAGCTGCTTGTACTGGCCTTAGCTATCTCTCAGATTCAACTTGTTCTGAAGTTTGGTTGAAAATGTAACATTCATTTTGCCTCTATACCAAAGGGGAAAATTAAGCCTTAAAAAAACAAAACCAAAGAAAAGCCTCTTCTTTAACTCCTAAGCATAAATCTTATTACAAAGAAGTAGTGAGAGAATCAGGATGCGTGTTTTCTAGTTATTAGGAATGTCCCATATGCATGTCTCCTGAGATATTTTTAACAGTGCAAATGGTATCCACCTGCTGTAGGGCTTTGTCATCCTGTAGAGGATCATAGCTGAGGATATATTGTGCTTTCCAGGTGATCAGGAAAGGAGAAGTGAGCTGCTGCTGGATTTGCACTGCTTGCAAGGAGAAYGAATTTGTTCAGGACGAATTCACATGCAAAGCCTGTGAGCTTGGCTGGTGGCCGAACACTGACCTGACAGGTAGGGACGTCTCCCTCCAAACACATCACCATTCACCAGGACACAAGGAGAGGAATGAGCAGTCTAGGAATGTGGCAGTATGCAAAGATAGTAAAAGGGCATATTTAAACACACACCCCAGTGTAGTGCAGAGTTAGTGAAAGTCTGACTCACTTTGAGAGCAGGAGGAGGAAGACTCAAGTGACAATAATAACAGGGAAATGTATACAAAAAAAAAGGCAATATATTTTGCTTTTTTCTTTGTCTTTTCTTAACGAGATCATTGACTGAACTGTTAAAACTACTGATGAACTTAGAGCATGTGCTACAATATTGACAGTGATTATTATCACAGGAGCTCGGTGCACCATTGAGAGACTGACTTGATTACTCTCTTTGCACATTCTACTATGCAATAGATCATTGTAAAACTTTATTAGGGATTTCTGGGCATTCAGTAACTGATTGCCAGACCTCCTTTTATCACAGAGATCATTCCCACTGTACCCACCACCAAGGAAAATTGCAACAAAATCCCAAGAAAGGCTCATGAAAAGAAGGAACACAGTCAGAATTTGTCTCTTCTATGCATATGCTTTGCATGGATTGTATGTTATGTCACTCAGTTGTCTGTCAAGGACAAACTTACACCTTGTAAATACCAAACAGTGGGCTTTCCCCACCCCTTAAGGCTCTGCAGTAACTGTTACCCCAAGAAAACATTTAATATGTTGAGAAATGCCACATTGACTTCAGTGCTTGCTTTGTCTTTCTACAAAAGRCTGCTGATGCCTTTGTCCTATATTGCATCTGCATGTCTTGGCTGCTGGTATTCACAGGGCAACATTCTTGTCCAAGAAACACTCCAGTTACCTATCTGAAGATCAGCTGTGCAACTTGTCACATCTTTGCACTTTAATATAACYGGCCAGCAGACTAGACTCTTCTAAAGCACTAAGCAAGTAGGCAAAGTACATGATCCTTGATTAGATGGTTCCARTGTTAATGCTGTTAAGATGTTAAACTGTTAGTCAGTGAAGTAACAAAAGGTTTTGAGGGATTTCTCTGGGAAGGGAAAGCTGGATATTTCTCCAACTTTCTCCAGTTCCAACTTAATTTTTATCAGTTGAAATAAATTGTTAAACCTTGTTCATTATCTACCTTGGTTTTCTACAGAAAATAAGGTATGGTCATCCCCCAGATATATGTGTGTCTGCTTATATCCTATACCTCTGACTTCACAACACATTCTCTCTCTTTCTCTACCGTGCAATTGAACTTATGTAAACCATTTGGTTGGGATACAGAGATCTCAGTGGCTATTCAGTTCCCAAAAGTTTCATGAGAATGAGTTGTAGGAAGATCATAAAAAGTGCTTTCTGTGAGGACTCCAGTTTTGGAAAAAAAGTCTTGTATTGCTAGACATCAGAAAATCTGTAGCACTCTTTATAAATGTCCTGGCCACTGGAAAAGCTTAATTTCTACCTCCACATCTTAAAACATCAAAGTCTACAAAACAGATATCCATAGAGAACCAAATGCTGTTAGTCTTAGAGGCTCACAGAATTATTTGTATCTCCTATTCAAAGAAGAAAACTAGGGCTTCTTTTTAGTCAATAAAGCAGAAGAACATAGTGAGAGATCAATGTGCACTTGAGCGAATATGGTTCAGTGCTACCAGCTGCCCAAAATAACTCAAAAGGGAGCATGTCAAAATGACAGTCACTGCTGAAAGGAGTTGAGCAAAGCATCAGTGCTGGAAAAAAATCTCAGGCACATGTTGCAATCTATTAACTTTTAATGAAATCAGTAAGTGACCTGCTGATTTGTATTTCATCTCAGCAAGAAGACTGAGCTGCTGCTGTTCTAAAATCATAGTGACACTAGTCAAATGACAGTGAATGGCAATTCACTGACTAGAGAATGGCAGAAAGGCAATCTGCTTTTGTATAGCATCTTTGTACTGTCTAATTGAGGATTTTTTTTAATCCCTGTGCCATTCATCTGAATGGCAAAAAGTGCAAAGTTGCGAAGAGAAGCTGAGGACATTCTGAACTTTAGAAAAGGGAAATTGGTCTAGATAAATTCTGACTCTTCATCTTTGCTCGAGTCATCATGTGTACAGTTCAGCTGAAATATTTTTTACCTTGCCAGCATTTCCCCTATCAAGTATGTTTTTATAACTTCACTTTATATGTTGTATTTATACTCTGCCAGTCACCATAGCATCCAGACAGACATTAACATCTCATATTGCAAATTGCTTTTCCCTTTGCCTTAGATCTTAAATACTAAAAATGAATATAGTTCTAATCGCATTTTCTATCACAGATGGAGGCTCTAAAATCTAAGATTTCTTAGTCCCTTTAAGAAATGCAGAGTGCATACTAATCCCACACCCAAAAATGTGCTTCTCAAGATATTCATGTCTCTTTTGACATCGGTTTCTGTTGCTCTGCAGTCTTTTTATGATGTTTAATCTTATCTTCAAACGTAAAATATTTTTAGATTGCTTCCCCTGTTTAATGAAATAGAAGTCACCAGGCATAAAGAATTTCTCCCCATAAATGATATAAACCATCCCTTCTATCTGACCTGAGCAATAGTCACTAAAACCAGGCATAAGCCAAGAAGAAGAGATGTCTTTTATAGTATCAGGAACCATTGAAGAAGAATGAATATCAGTCTAGTAAGACCAATTTTCTTCATCTTAAATAAACAACAAAACAAGGTAGGACAGAAAGTTTTATAGAGCTATTATGAAATGAATCTTAGAGGTCTGGGACCATCAGTTACCTGGGATGTATTAATGACCACAGAAAACATTCTGGAGTGTCTTACTGGCCTTGCAGTATGACTATCATTTTTAAAAAAATCAATTAGCAGTCTTCTCTGGAAAAATGTTCACAGTAAAAGTGTAGAGAAATAATAGATAAAAAATATAAAACAGCTTTTTACTAACAACTTTATCTGTGAAACTTTTTGTACTAATTTTCTGGGGTTTGTTTAGTTTTTGGTTTGTGTTTTAACCTGTAAGTATATGATTTCCTGGGCATCCTCCCCCAACAAGCTTCCTTAGCACACTTTCCTCTAGCTGGGAAATGACCCATCTTCCCAGGTGCTGACAATCAACAACTGTCTGCTCATAAAAGCACTGCAGGCAGGTTTATTTTTAATGATTGTGGCACATGTAGCTTGCCTGTGCACAAAAATTGCACTGATTTAACTAAACAAGTTTCTAAAATYTTATGCAATATAAACTTAAAGCAAATGATAAAGGTTTAACTACCATGCTGAATCAACACTAAAGCTTCAAACATATAATTTAACACAGAAGAATAAGAGTATGGCTTAATGTTGCTAAGCTTAAAGTTTCAAACTTAACCCTTTCAGCTTCCACAGAGTGGCTTCTTGGTTAAATAAAGAGCTTTGGGGATATTAATCAAAAAGCTGAAGCTCCTGAATATTAATTGACTATTGAAACAGAATGGGAACTGAATCCAGTCCATGGCTGCTGTGGCCAACAGCCAGAGGATCATAGTTCTCCTAAAAAGCTTTTTCTTCAGTTGCATTTCACCATAAAAATAATGATTAGAAAGACTGTTCTTCTTCCTCTGAATCTTGAATAAACCACACTGTGTAAAGCAGAACTGCTTTTCTTTATAATATAACACCTTCAGCTGCCTACAGGATCATTTCCATTACTTTTGGTGTTACATGTGATAGACAGCTTTACCTGTTGATAAGTCTGCTCGGTACCCTCAGAGTGAGAATGAGAGAGTACAGAATTATAAGGCATTCTTTCACTTCATATGACATTGGCAAACTGTAAAAGTTTAGGAAGAAATTTTCCATGTCAGGACTCTGCCTCAGGCTAATTTCTTCTTCTTTTTTTTTTTTTTTTTAACAAAAACGTTTTTTCTGGTTCTCACAATGAGGTTACAGCTGAATTGTGTTTGCACAGCCTTGATCCTCACCTCTAACTACCTCTCCCGTTTTTGGAAGCTAGGACTTTATATTTTGGTAGAGGTGTAACTTTGTGATTTTTGTGTCACTCTACAATAGATGCCACTAAACGGAGCAAAATTCTGGGCTTCAGAAGCTCTTGTTTCATTCAGGTTGATCTCTGTAGACACACACCGTACTCCAGGAGGAAGGAGCTGAGCATAACATTTGCTCATCACTTGCCAATTGAGCAGCAAAGCAATAATAATAATAATAATAATAATAATAATAATAATAATAATAATAATAATAATAATAATGCCTCTTTTAAAGTTCACTGACTCCAAAGTCTTTTTCCCTCTCTTGCCAGACATATCCAACAACCCTGATAGGCACAAATAAACAGCAGCTGTTACTGTTGGCCATTGCATAGGGTTCATATCCAGCATATGAACAGCTGGACCAGGAGTGGTTGTGGTGAGGACAGCTGGATGGAGAGATGACTGGGTTGAGGAAAAGCCTGAATGGGGATGGCACAGAGATGGGAAAACTGAGGGATTGGGAGGGCAGGTGTTTCTGAGGCAGGTAAAAGGCACATGAAGCTGGAAGCTGAGTGGGGTCCAAGAGAAACTGGAAGAAGACAGAGACCAGAGAAGAAGATGGGCACTTAGCATGGCATACAAGCTAAATGGGGGAATGATTGCAGGGCTGCAGGACCTGGGTAGAGAGGACTAACMACTGAGGAGGACTACTATTGAGTGTGCCCTTCCTCCGTGCTGGACCAGTCCGCTCTGAACGCAGCTGATGCCTCTGAGGCAGGCAGAGGCTGCCCAGCTCCCACTGTGGTGGCTCACTTCAGTGGCTCCCCAGCATGAGTCCAAGCCATTCCAAAGGTCCCAGCTTTGCTGATGATCCACAGAGGCACTCTTCTGTCATTCATTACGATTTGCTTCTTAACAGCAGAAAAATATCAAGGAACACGCTGAAAGTGCCTTGACACCAAGTCAGTAACTCACCAAGTCAGCAAGAAATTAGGAAATATCAGAATGAATGTTCTGAGTAATTTGACTTCATAACATTATCATCCTATTAACATAGAAGATTTTATTTGCTACTTAATCRTATGCTGATTTTACATCTCCAGCTCAGGGAGGAAAGTAGCTATAAATACCCATTTCACCTGACTTTGGGAGAGAGCCGTGTTGGTTAAGTACCATCTCCTACTGACACCTGCTTTTGTACTAACAGTACAGAAATGCCTTTACAGTTAATTTTTAAAATCATGTATATTTTGTGGGTTTGACTTTTCCACAAGATTTGAATCACATTAATTAGTGGGGATGGCAAAAGGAGCATAGAGGAAAAACAGTGATCCCTTTGCCCTTTTGTTTGACATACTGTAGATAAGATCTTGCAGAGAGAATTAGAATGCAGAAATATAATGAGAAGATATAGCATCTATCTTTTAATTCCATTATAACTTTGGGTTTATATATATATATTTCTGTTGATAAGAGAATTCAATTAATTTATTTTTTTCTGATAAAATCAACCTTAGAAAAATACAGTGGGTCAAATTATGTTGATTTTACTAAAGATTAAAATAAGTTAGTCTGAACTGCTCATTTTGCCTGGTAGCAGCCAGTAACAATTCCTTCCTTGCTGAAATTAAGGGATGGTGCCGAGTTTATCTGGTATCTCTTCCCACTTCTGCCTTTGATATGCCGGTCTTGTTAGCAGGTCCCCCACAAGTAAAAATTAGAAGAAAATTTTGCAAACCTCATTTCCATTTATAGCATCATGAGCAAATATTGGGAAACCCAAAATGAATGGCTGGTTTTGAAAATAATTCATTTGAATCTTCCCATACTGCAGTTCACTCATTTGTAAAATGGTTTTAATAAGTCATGACACAGAGGCATAAACAAATGTTTAGATTATTTCGGGAGCCAGAAAAATTGTTCTTCCCTCAAGCAGATACCTTTCTAACACTCTTTTTCTTTTCTGTATACTGCAGGCTGTGAACCCATCCCTGTAAAGTATCTCCAGTGGAGCAATATAGAGTCTATTGTGGCTGTGGTCTTTTCCTGCCTGGGGATCCTGGTCACCATGTTTGTCACCCTTATCTTTGTGCTCTACAGGGACACCCCTGTTGTCAAATCCTCCAGCCGGGAGCTCTGCTACATAATCCTTGCTGGCATCTTTCTGGGTTACATCTGTCCTTTCACCCTTATAGCTAAACCCACCACCACGTCCTGCTACCTCCAGCGCCTTCTGGTGGGCCTCTCCTCAGCCATGTGCTACTCTGCTCTTGTGACCAAAACCAACCGCATTGCACGCATCCTGGCAGGCAGCAAAAAGAAGATCTGTACTCGCAAGCCACGCTTCATGAGCGCGTGGGCCCAAGTGGTCATTGCCTCCATCCTGATCAGCGTGCAGCTGACACTGGTGGTCACACTAATCATCCTGGAGCCCCCGATGCCCATCCTCTCCTACCCTAGTATTAAGGAAGTTTACCTTATTTGCAACACCAGCAACTTAGGCGTTGTGGCTCCCGTGGGCTACAATGGACTCCTCATCATGAGCTGCACATACTATGCCTTCAAGACTCGCAATGTGCCTGCCAATTTCAATGAGGCCAAGTACATTGCCTTCACCATGTATACCACCTGTATCATCTGGCTGGCCTTTGTGCCTATTTATTTTGGGAGCAACTACAAGATCATCACCACCTGTTTTGCAGTAAGCCTGAGCGTGACAGTGGCCCTGGGGTGCATGTTCACTCCCAAGATGTACATCATCATAGCCAAGCCTGAGAGGAATGTCCGCAGTGCCTTCACCACCTCAGACGTGGTGCGTATGCATGTCGGGGATGGCAAGGCACCTTGCAAGTCCAACACTTTCCTCAACATATTCCGGAGAAAGAAACCAGGGGCTGGAAATCCAAAGTAAGTGATTGACTGCAGGTACACGTCTATCTGTATATGTCCCTCTCTCTGCCATCCTCTCTTGATCAACAATAGTTTGCTGAAAGGTATGGTATGTAACATTTTTTCACCTCACATGCAGCAGAAAAGGAGAAACGGATCCTTTAGGTGTAAGCCTCAGGTGGATGTTGATGGATGCATTTTCTCTCYTGCTTAAAGGCAACCCCGTACACAAATACCTTTGCCTCTGGGGCAGGTCAGGCAGTGGTGGAATGACCAGACTCCATTTCATCTTCTCTCATCTCTCATGCATGTGACTAGGGCCTCACACCCTGATGTGCAGTTGCTCTACATTACTGTCCAAACTGAGATGCAAATGTAGTCTTCTGGAGAATGGAGCAGAAATCTGTGTGTGAGTGGTTGTAAATCACATGTATTTGTCTAAGACCCCTGGGATCTATGTGTGAAAGAAAGGGGCTGAAGATAGTTTGTCAGAYAGAGTCTTGTGACACTCTTCATAATTGTCATTCAAAAGCACCCTTCATACTATCCCCATGCTCTATTTAATAAGCAGGATCATGACCAACAATTTTAGCCATTAGTAGTGTATGTCCGAGAAGTCCATGCTTCCAAACAGAGCACTGGTACAAAAAGTTTCAGAGGTGAAGTGATGAAGATGGACTAGGTCCCAGAACTACTGAGCCTTGCTGATGATTAGAAATGACTAACCTGCAGCAGAGGGGGAGAGGGAACTGCCACGTCAAACATCGCCCCATGAGCAGCTGTCTGAGCACTGGCATTCTCTATTTCCTCACTGCTTTGTTAATCTTTAAAGAAGCACCACAAGGCTAGATATGAGCTTAGATTACTGTTGTCACAATTTAAAAAAAATGTCAAAATGTRTGAAGGAAATAAGATCCCGTGAAGTCCACCTTTGTGAGCTTCTTGCTAGAATCAAAGCTTAGCTGATTTCCATCTCTCTGGCTGTAGTGAAGGGTTTGTTGTTTTCTCTGAATGTTTCATGTTGGCTTCAGTTCAGTTTGCACAGGAATCACTTTCACATATCCTGGAGACAGAAGGGAAAAGGATAAAGGCAATACCATAGAAGACACATGCAGTGCTCAATTTTATATATGTCACTTAAATGCTTTTTTATTTGGTTGCCAGACAGAGGCWCAGAAGAGAAGGAATGGAGGCATAGGCAATACAAGTACGTGGTTAAGTCTGATGTGGTGGCAGCAAGAAGATTATGCGAGCTACCGAGCTAAACAGCAAGTGATCTGGTASTGATAGCAGTTCAGGGAGGCCCCTCTTGCAGGAAAGCAATGGTGGATGGACAAAATTCTCTAGTCTATGAGCTTGGTTTTCCATACAAATAGGGAGATAAAGCTTGATCTGACTTTCCCTGACTCTGCAAACATTGGATGGGGTCTTGCTTATCTATAAGCAAATGGTGTGGTGTCTCTGCTGCAGTCTCTGACTAACACTGTTGGTGTCTTTGGGATAACATTAGGCAGCAAAAGGATTAGTGGGTATTTAAGATCATGAGCAAATTAGCAGCTAACGCTCTGTTGTCCTCACCATTTTTCTACCCTCAAAAAAGAAACTGCTGTAAAAGATCTTTATGTTGAACACAAGTGCAGTATATTTGGAACACAATTCACTCTATATTTCTTCCTGTTGAAAAGCCTCGCTTCCCCCTCTACATTGTCACCTTAAAAGAACAACAGAGCTTCAATGAGCTTCTTAGCAACTTGTTCGTTACATAATTTTAGTCTTTTGTGACATTTAATTCTCTTCTGTTCTCTTCTGCACAGAGAAAAAAGATTCCACAGAGTTTTAAGGTGCTTTTTTTCTGAACTCAGTGTTTGACACACACTTAATACCCATTCTGCATTTTGTCTCAGGTCCAGCCTCCAGATCTTTCACACAGCAAAATCCCAACTTCTGACTGAATCCTCTCATGCAGTTACTGCTCTGTTCTTTGTATAAACCAGCAGAGACGTGGCTGCAGCCTACACTTGCTTAAGGAGACGGAGCAGAGCACAGCAAACCTCGCCATACGTGGATGTGAGGGAGTGCAAACAGTGCAGTGCGCAAGCATGCAGCTTTGGAAGCAGTCACGAAGGTCATTTCAGGGTTATGGAGAGTATTGCGGTTCCTAGCAGGGCCATTGCAAAGCTTGTGAGGACATTGCATTCGCACAGCTTAAGAACTAGAAGGCACTSAGCAATGCGAGAAGAAAAAAGAATTTTCTGGAGCCTTTGAAGCTCCTATATAATTCAAATGTGTGTTCAGATCATTCCTGAAAATACTAAAACTTGCTTACTGCCAGAGAAAAGGCCTCCAGACTGGGTTTCAACCTTTTTCATTTCCTGTCACAATCTTTTTTTTTCTTYTTTTCCCCTAGTTTTCTTTCAGTAATTCAGATGCCAGAGAATCTTCCTCTGCTTCTTGCCTTGGCCACACGGCAAGCAGCATTTCACTTGAAAGATCATTTTCTTCTAKTTATCTTTCAAAACCTCTCCATTCCTTTTCTTGTTATCTCATTTCTTGCCAGCTTGTTTATCTACTTTTCAATTTTCATCTTTCTCCGTCTACATTGAACCACCCTGTATTCATTGAGTCCATTTCAATACCTTCACCTAAACAAAAAATGGCATCCATTTAATTTAAATTGGCATGCAGATATAGAGTTAAACTGAGTTAGCTTTGAAAATGGAAACTAGTTTACATTTGCAAGGGCAAGGCAAACTTATGTAAGCCTTGAGAAAGCGCTCGCACATGCTGTTGTGCTGTTTGCATTGCCAGTAGAGCTTTGGGATTAGAACAAGACAACCGGCTCTTCCCTTCTCCTTCTAAACTGGAGCAGAAATAACTAGGGATGTATGTTAGCACTGCCTTCAGCTATATTCCGTGCTCATACAGAGGCCAGGAATTTTCCAGAAAAATGTCCGTCACAGACAGTTCTGATGAAAATAAATTGCTTAGTAACATTGGTCTTCACTTAATAATAGAGTGATGTTGCCTTTACTGAGCTGTTGCACTCTGGAGGTATAATGTAAGATCACGAAGGTTTGAACTCTCTCATACTTGATTAGTCTGTGAGCAATTACTGAGGTTATAGCTTTAAATAGAGGTGGTTGGGAACTTTCCAGTGGAATGCATTTTCCATCAGAAAATTCTGGCTTCTGAAAATCAGGAGGACATTTAACTTGCCCTGCCTTGAGGGGATGAAGGGATCGGGGACTTTTGGGTGAGGGAACTTTACACTGACAGCCACTAGAATGATGGCTAGAGCATTGATCTAGGTGAAGGGCATCTCCTTCACATMCCAGGTGAATGCCCTAAAACTGGACTATGTATTCCAAGGCAAGTCTTGGCCTTTTCTCTTTCTTGACCAGCAATTTGTCCTGGAACAAAGGAAAAAAAATCCTGATGCAAACCCTAGAGAAATGCTCTGTATTATTTTGTGAGAGAATTCAAATCTGGGTCTGAGAGATCCCTCATGAGAGTCTTCAGTGCTAAACTATAGTCAGCCTGTCTGTCTTGTCAAATGAATATTTAAATATTTATAAAAAGTGGAACAGCTCCATCAGGAGAGACTGAGAGAGACTGATATCTGCTGCTTTTATTGAAGCTGTGTAGAGCCATTTATCACCAGGATTTGCTGTTCGGTGACATTATGAGATCCTAGCTATTAAAGGATGCTGGTCCAGCAGYAGTATTTAGGAGAGGCTTTTCCCATCCTTTTGCAGATATAAGATTGCAGCTTTCAGATGTGGGTTTTGAGCAGTTATGAGACTAGTTCTTGACCTTGAATGTCACTCTGGTCTGTAAGGRTTAAACAACTTGAAGAGTAAAGTGCATATAAGATAGCAAGGAGTGATAGAGCGGAAAGAGGGCTTTGGGGACATGAAGGCCTGCCCAGTCTTAATTGTGCATACCCATAGTGAAACTGCATCCTGCCCTTTCCAGGGATATATCTCCCTGGGAAGCAATAYTCCTTTCTGGGCAATGTCCGGGGAAAAATAACAAGCAACATTCAAGAAGTTGCGCTTGAGGATGGTTCAGGAACTGTCTTCTCTAGCCACTGCTTCAAATTGACCCTGCTCAGGTACAGAAGACTGGAGACAGGTCTAGAGACTGCAAGTCTGTTAAGTGGCTTTTGCTTGTAGTCCATCTGCAGCCTGAGCTGTGCAGCTAGGCTTACTTCTTCACTCACAATTTTGTTGGGCTGCAGCAGTGTGAGAAGGATTAGTGGTTGCTGAGGAGTGGGGAGCAGTTCTTTCTGAGTCTTTGTGTCATTAGCTCCACTTATAGTAAAGAGTCAAGGCTCTGGTCACTATTCTAGGGAACTGTGATTCAGAATAAATACACAAGATGTGTGGCAAGACATGAGTTGATGGGAAGGCCAACTTGAAAAACTCTGTGTGGCCAGGACTCCACATTAATGCTTGGCCACCTATATACCCCTTTCTAAGTTTAAGGTATTTGCATCTAGTTTTTCTTTCTCCAGTTTTTTGCACTCAGAACTGGACGGTTATTTTAAAATATCTCCAAACATGAGGGTTTTTTTATGTATCTTTTCAACATGTTTGGGTAGTTCATGCCTCTAGGATGCTTTCCTAGGTGTCCTCTCTAGACAGTGAATCCCATGACACCTGGGCTAACAATCATTCAAAATGGCTTTATTTTACTCCCTTCAAAAATATCAGGGTAACTCAATACCCATTGGTACATTCTCCATGGCTTCTTTCAAAGGAGCCTGCTCTTGTCCTTCATCCTTTCTCCCTCTGCACCAGACGCCAAAATTCTTTAGCTTGAAACTGGGTATCTCAGTAACCCAGAGGTAACCTCAGTTGCATCTAGTAACACGTGTTTGCTCACTTACCAAGGCCTAGGAAAACAAAACAAAACAAAACAATAACTATTACTTGGTCTTTCCAGCTATAAAAGTCTTTCAAACTATTTCTCAATTACACTTGTTCTTACTGAGAATTTCTGAGATTACTGTTTCA